AGCTTGGTGGTTAAGGACACTTGCTGCTCTTGCAGAGGACCCAGGTTTGATCCCCAGCACCTACATGGTGGTTCCAAGGGATCTGATGCTGCCTTCTGACCTGTGTGGGCACCAAGCATTATTAAATAAACTGAATTTGCTATTAAAAATCTTGCTAGAAGGAAAATTCTAGACCCTGAATAGTGATTTTGTTTTGTTTTGTTTTAATGTTAATTTCTGCCACCTCAGCAGCAGCCTGCCTTTGCTGCCAAAGCAGTTACATCATCACCTGATACCAGGTGCCTTCCCACCACCAGCTGTCTGATATGTGTACCCTTAAAAAGTGCCCAACAGGCACAGCTCACTGTCTTTGACTCTTACCTCTTATTCCTCTTTGTCTCTTCTTTCCTCTCTTGCCTCTTCCTGTCCCTCTTGCTTCTCTTCTTTGTCTTGCCTGTCTGTCTCCCTCAAGTCTCCACTCCAATACAGCCTTCCACTCTTCCTATTTCCCTCTCCCCAATAAACCTCTTGCACTAACTCTATTTGCTTAGTGGCATTCTGTGTCAGGGCCAGCCAAAAGGTACCCACTTCACCTTTCTTTTTATGTATCCTTTCACTTAGCAAGTATTTAAGGAAGGAGTAATACCAAATACACACCAAATCTTTCAGAAATTAGAGGAGAAAGAAACGTTTGTTTTATGGGACCAATATTACCCTAATACCAATACCAAAGAAATTACAACAAAAAAGCCACCATTCTCATAAAGTAAGTGTAAAAATTATTAACAAACATACCAAATGTAGTGGGGAATCATGACAAATGAGGTGTCTCCTAGAAATGCAATTGTAAAATCAATGCAAGCAATATTAATTTGAAAAACATGGTCATATCAAAAGATGCTGAAACACCATTCAAGAAAGTTTCATAATTAAAAATATCTTTACAGAATCTGGAGCAACAACAACTCAGGTTGTTTTTTCAGAGGACCCAGGTTCAGGTCCCGGCACCACACCCACATGGTGGTTCACCACCATATATAACTTCAGTGTCTCAGAATTTGATGCCCTGTTCTGACTCCACCAGACAATCACATGGTACATTCATATATGCAGCCAAAACACTCATACACATAAAATAAAACTATTTTTTAAAAAGTCTCAACAAAGTAGGAATGCAAAAGCATTTCCTTCTTTGACAAAGAATATCTATAGTTCTTAATGAAACTCCAAGTATCTTCCCATGGAAATCAAGCAGACAAAAATGTCTGACTTTGTTATTCCTTCCTATTCAAGTTGAGGTCTCTCAGAATATGAATGACAATGAAATGAAAACAGATAAGAAAAGAATTGCAACTGAATCTATGCACTGATGACATAATTATCCAATGCACACATGAAATTTCAAATACATAACTTTAAATAACCAATAGTATCCTAAAGTGAAATTTCTATGCACATAAATAGGAAGACTCAATATTGCCAAAAGGCCATTTCTTTGTCTTAATCTGTAGACTCAGTGCGCTCCCAAAGAATAAATAGAAAGTGAAGAAAGAAATTCATATACTATAGATATATTTACCTTTGTCAAAGGAAGGAAGACAAACAGAAAACAAGCCTTTTCAACAGATGGACCTCGAACAATTGGGCATTAAATTAGAAATGTCATTCGGGACACCTCTCATAATGGTTAACTCAAATTTCTCAAACTTTAGACGTAAATATAAATTGCCTAATGTAAGGTTTCCAGAAGACAATGTAGGAGAAAATCAGAAAATGTAGGTGAGCTCATGTTTGGGGATAACTTCTCTCTGCCTTTCTCTATTTCTCTCTCTCTCTCTCTCTCTCTCTCTCTCTTTCTGCTTCTCTCTCTCTCTCTGCTTCTCTCTCTCTCTCTGCTTCTCTCTCTCTCTCTCTCTCTCTCTCTCTCTCTCTCTCTCTTTCTCTCTCTCTTTGGTTTTTCAAGACAAGGTTTCTCTGTAGCTTTGGAGCCTGTCCTGGAACTCATTCTGTAGACCAGGCTGGTCTCGAACTCACATAGATCCACCTGCCTCTGCCTCCCAAGTGCTGGGATTAAAGGCATGTGATAGGCGATGTCATTCTGTAAATATGTTTCTCGTATTGGTTAATAAATAAAGCACTGTTGGCCAATAGGAAAGCAAGATAGGCTGGTCTAGGAGATAAGGAGAAGAGAGGAAGAAGTAGGGAGGAGATTCAACATGGAGGATGGAGAGAGCAGAACACTGGCCCTCTCTCCGGTAAGATAAGACCACGAGGAAATATTTAGACTAATAGAAATGGGTTAATATTTAAGACAGAGCTAGCCAATAAGGAATACTACTAATTGGCCAACAACATTATATCAAATACAGCATCTCTGTGTGTTATTTGGGGCTGGCAAAGTTCTGGGCCCAGGCTGGTGGGAAAAACTGTGTAAGACCCTCAGAATGAGGGTTCGGTCGATACCCCAAGAACTCAATGTCCAGTCCAGTTGCTGCAAAACGCAAGAGGGTTTAATGAACAGGAAACATTTGCGCAAACGGGCTCCTCCAGCACGCAGGCTAGAGAGAAGCCCCCTCCCCTGGGCCCAGGTGTTTTTAAAGGCAAACCCACAAGGTTAGGGAGGGGGTGGGACCCTCTGTCCATTGAGTACGTGACCCTTGGAGGCCAGACAGTCTCGCTATTAGGGTCAGCAGACCTTAGGGCTTCGGGTGTGCTAATTAATCTTGTCTGGGCAAACCAGAGTTACAGCTATCTCTTGACCCTATTTACCACCTGTTGACTCACAGGAAAGGAGGGGCAGTGTGAATTCTTCTTATCTCAGGGCCTTGTGAGAGGAAGCTAGCAAATTCCAAGGAACAGATATTGATTTCTAGGTTAGTCCATCATTAACATTACTTTTAGGTCTTTCAACTGCACTTAACAAAATGGTGCCTCTAACGTGGCTAATAAGAACTTCCACTTAAAACTTAACAAAAGCTTAAGAAAGGATTTTAGAAACAAAAGAACAAAGATAAGCATGGCTTCTTGGTAGCATCATTTTTCTACAGCACCCCCTACCAGCAGAAAGCAGTTTGGAAAGAATGATGCCCAAACTCCCAAATATTGTCTACAAATGTTTGTTTTCATTTAATTGGTGTTGATTATAAATGGTTAATGATCACAAATAATCTCTTTTTAAAGGTAAAAAGGGGATCATGGTATAGCAGAGACTTGTGCATCTCCTTTAAGGGAGGTTTCCTGACTAAGCATATTGACAAAAACCCAGAAGGCTTTTAAAGAGCTCTGCTAACAACTTACTGGTGTGTATGAGAACTGGCAATGGCAGTGACCACATCTCCAAGCCGGAAGCATGTTGCTGGATGGTAGCATAGATCAAGGCAGTGAGCACAGCTCTCAGTTCTGGCGGTACAGGTACCCTGCACCATATTCAATAAACTGAGGCTAACACAACGATGTCTTTCATTTTAGCAATGTTGTTGTTTACCAGATAAAAGACTTGTGGCCAGAAAAAGATAAAGATTTACAGTAAAGACAGATTCAGATTAAGAAAAACTTCTAAAGGTTTACAGTGTGTTTTAAAATATATGTAGGCTTGGAAGAGAAAAAGAAACATGATAAAATGGTTTAAAAAAGAATAATGAAAAGAGAGGAGCTGGGTGTGGTGGCACACACCTTTAATTCCAGCACTCGGGAGACAGAGGCAAGCAGATCTCTGTGATTTCAAAGTAAACCTGGTATGCACAGTAAATTCCAGGACAGATAAAAGTTACACAGAAAAAGCCTGTCTCAAAAATGAAAAAAAAAAAAAGAAGAAGTAAAAGAAATAGAGTAATAAAATAGCCATGTAAAGATTAAAAGCACAAAGAGTCTGAATACTATATGCTGTTCTGTTGTCTTTGTATCATTTGACTACTGAAGAAATAGCAACAACTGTTAAAGTAAATGCTGCTGGATTAATCTAATTTATATATTTTAAAATGCTTTGACTTCGAAATTTAAGTTTAAGAACAGGTTACTGGGGAAAAAGATTTCAATTTTTGTTTCCACAGAAAATGAAAAGCTGTGGATTCCTTCCAGACTAACATGGTTTGATCAAGCAAGAGCTCCTGAAGCAAAGTCCCAAATGATCCAACATTCAAAACAGCTGGGACAAGGCAGCCTTGCAGACCACTACAGCCAGGATTCTGCATCTTCTTAGGATCTCCATGACAGCACCCCCTACCAGCAGGAAGCAGTTTGGAAAGAATGATGCCCAAACTCCCAAATATTGTCTACAAATGTTTGTTTTCATTTAATTGGTGTTGATTATAAATGGTTAATGATCACAACTAATCTCTTTTTAAAGGTAAAGAGGGGATCATGGTATAGTTATGAATACTTTGTTTTAAAATGGATATTTATTTATTGATACAAATTTAAGATCAGTTTTGTGATATGTATATTTCTCCTCTTGTTTAGGCATTGTGTTTATATAGCTCATTTAAAAATGTAATGTATAATTCAGTGCAATTATAGTTACCTATAATAGTCAAAACTTATAGCTAGGTGAGTTAGGTTTTCTAGACATATAGAGATGTATTTAAGATGGATAGGCATTCTTCAAACCTTACAAAGACCAACAGAATATGGCATTTAAAATGGTTTAGGACTTTTCTTGACAGTGAGTCACAACTGCTCTTGGCAACGCTACCTGCTTCAGAAAGGAAGATGGACATCAATGAAACTTGTTATGGAGTTTACTTCCAATGTGGCAAGACTAGCCATTTGGGCAAGATACTGCTCTTGTCTGGACTGTTTGACTTTATGCTGTATAAACTGGACATGCAGGACCCACAGAAAAGTGATTGCTGATACAAGATGGACATTGCTACTGAGTTTCTGCTTCATGGAAAACATTCTGTAAAGTGACTGAAAAACTGCCAATACAGATGGACAGTTTAAAGTTTCCTGCTTTGCGGAAGAGTCTGCCAGACACACTATGGCCTATAGGCTGAAGATGGAACATTACAGAAGAACTTCAGGTGACTGACCAGGCAATGAGTTGTCTCTGTCATTTCTAGAGTTTATATATTATCCTTCTGTGGTCTTTGAGGGAGTTGAAGACAGATAGTTATGGTTATAATTTTCCTTAGTTAAGGATAAGATAAGTTACATATAGGACTTTGGACTCACAAAGATAGGATAGATGATAAAATATTTTCTTTAAATCTTGCTAAATGTTAATGGACTAAATATTGTTAACTCTGGTTCTTAATTTGATAACTGTTTTGTTATATATTTTACTATGTTAAGGTTAAAACCCTTTTTATTTAGACATAAAAGAGGAGATGATGGGAGATGTCATTTTGCAAATATGTTTCTTGTATTGGTTAATGAATAAAGCAAAGAATGAGGAAAGCAAGATAGGTGGGACTAGGAGACTAGAAGGAGAGAGGGAGAAGTAGAGAGGAGATTCAACATGGAGGACAGAGAGAGCAGAACGCCAGTCCCTCTCTCTGGTAAGAGAAGACTACGTGGAAATAGTTAGATTAATACAAATGGGTTAATATTTAAGACAGAGCTAGCCAATAAGAAACACTAATAACTGGCCAACAACATTATATCAAATACAGCATCTCTATGTGTTATTTGGGGTTGGCGAGGCTCTGGGCCCAAGCCAGAGGGAAAAACTGCACTTAACAGGCTTGCACCATCACTGCCCAGGTTGGTGATAACTTTTCAAATATAGCACCAAAAGCAAATTCTGCCAAGGTGAAGCTTTGTGTTCTACAGGAAACATCATTTTGTAAGATAAAATGTTAGTGCAAATACTGAGGGAAAACTCTTCATAGAATATATCTTATGAGACATCTGATATATAAAATGTGAAAACTCAACCTAAGAACACAACCCAAATAAAAGATGGAGAGAGATTGAGCAGACACTATCAAAGCAGACAAAGATGACACAAAGAGATGTACAAAGCATGCCATTGAGGATTTACAGATTAAGACAACAATAAGATACCCCTCACTGCCTATTTAAATGGCTTAAATCCAAAGCACTGACAAGAGCAAATGCTAATGAGGATGTGGAGAAATGGGAACTCCCATCCATTGTTGCTTAGAATACAAAATAAAAAAAGCCAGTTTAAAGGACAGTTGGATTGTTCCTTACAAAACTAAACTCTTATCATTTGGTCTAGTGGGTTGAAAACTTATGTCCATGCAGATACCTGCACTTAGAGCTGGGGACATGATTTAGTGGGAGAGTACTCAATTGCCTAACATTCAGGAAGCTCTAGGTTCAATCCTCAGTATTGCAAAATCAGTGAGAGAGAGAGACAGAGAAAGAAGAGAGAGAGATAGAGACAGAAAAACCTGCACATTCATTATGTTTTTGGTAGCTTTCTTTTAAAAATTTTTTAGTTATTTTTTTATATTATATGCATTGATGTTTTGCCATGGATACCAGATCCTCTGGAATTAGAGTTATAGACAGTTATGATTTGCCATATGGGTGCTAGGAATTGAACCTGGGTCCTATGTAAGAGCAGCCAGTGCTCTTAACTACTGAGCCATCTCCTCAGCCCTTTTGGTAGCTTTCTTAATAATTATCCAAACCTGGAAGCAACAAGATGTCCTTCAATGGCATTTTTAGTGATCAAAAGAAATTTGCTTTCAAGCTATAAAAAGGACATGAAATAACCTTATGTATTGCCAAGTGGAATCTGAAAAGGTCACATACTGTAAAACTATAATTATGTGACACACTTCAAAAGGCAAAATATGAGCACAATAAAGAAGATTAATGGTGAGCAGAGAGGGAAAGATGGATAAATAGATGGAGACTGTGGAATTTTAGGTGAAAATATTTTATAAGAAACTGTAGCTTTGGGTATGTGATATATTTGCCAAAAGTCATTAAGTAACAATCTAATGTAATATGTCAGCTTAGTTGTATGTACATCAATTGTCTTAGGGTTTCTATTGCTGTGAAGAGACACCATGACCATGGCAATTCTTTCTTTTTTTTTTTTTTTTTTTTTTTTGTTGTTGTTTGTTTGTTTGTTTTCTTCAAGACAGGGTTTCTCTGTGTAGCTTTATAGATCCAGGCTGGCCTCAAGCTCACCTAGATCTGGCTGCCTCTGCCTCCCAAGTGCTGGGATTAAAGGTGTGCACCACCACTATCTCCCCCACCCCCAGTTCTTATAAAGGAAAACATTTAATTGAGACTGACTTACAGTTTCAAAGATTCACTCCGTTGTCATCATGGTGGATGGCATACAGGCAGACATGGTCGTGGAGAAAGAGCTGAGAGTTCTATAACTTGATCTTCAGGCAACAGGAAGCGAACTGTGTATCACACTGGACATAGCTTGAGTGTATAAGACCTCAAAGCCCATCTCCATAGTGACGCTCTTCCTCCAACAAGGCCACACCTCCTAATAGTGCCACTCCCTATGGGGACCATTTCTTTTCAACCATCAACTTGTCACTCATAAAAAGTTAATTATACTAATGTAATATGTACATTAAAGGGGGAATGAAGAGAGGGTGAAGGGGAGAAATGTAACTCAAAGTTGCTCTAATAATTAGTCATTGGACTATATATGTCTTGACTGTTGGTGGTTATATATGTGCATATAGTCAACAAAACTTATTTGTACATTTAATGCATTTATATATATATACATATATATATATATATACACTTATTAGTTACTTTTCTGTTGCTCTGATAATTATGATCAAGTCAACTGATTAAACAGAAAGAATTTATTTTGCCTAATGTTTCCAGAGGACTAGATTCCATAAGGGCAGAGACAGCAGGGAGGTAAGCAGCTGGAGCAGGAAGGTGAGAGTTTGCACTTCTTACCACAAATACAAAGCAGGGAAAGAGAACTGGAATAGGGTGAGGCTGTATAGTCTCAAATCCCACTCCAAGTACTTCCTTCATTGGGGAAGTACTTGCCCAAAGTCTCCCCCCAACAGTGCCACCAACTAGAAATCAAATTTTCAAAATACTTGGGCACATGGGGAACATTTCTCACTTAAACCTCCACATGTGCATGTCCCTATATGTAGATTTTACTCCAGTAATAAAAACTAACTCTTTATTATTATCTGTTGCCTAATTTAGTTATAGTCAATACTGGATGCAACACTGAAAACCTAAAGGAAAGCAAAAGCAGATAGAAATCAATGTTGTGCTTAAAAAGAAATTGTCCCTACCACATTCTTGAGCATTTCAAGTAGATGGAAAATAGCTTCCTCAAATGTGTGGTTTTTGTTTGTTTGTTTTCAAAGCACGGTTTCTCTGTAGCTTTGGAGCTCGTCCTGGAACTCACTCTGTAGATCAGGCAAGCCTTGAACTCACAGAGATCCACCTGCCGTTGCCTCCCAAAGGATCGTGCCACCACCAACTGGCTTGAATGTATTCTTTAGCACAACTAGTCTTCTTTCTGGTTAACTAACATGCAGAGGAAGGCTGCAGCTCCAGGTTTCATTTCTTCCAGTGTGCCTTCTTTTGACATCTCACTGTATCTTTTTTTCTTCAGTTAGTCATAAGTGAAAAGGTCTGAGCACACACATCACTTGGGTGAGAATGATCGCTGTGAGCTTTTTACTGAATGAAGAAGGTGGTCTAGACTGCACAGAGGGCCAGGATTCTCGACAGCAGAGGTCTGCCATGGTCAACTGGTGAATGCTAGCAAACAGGAGTTGATGTTTGTCTTTGGAACTTGTGAGAAGTTAAATAAGGAAAAATTGGATTTGGTTATACAATTTGGGAAAAATCAGACAAAAGATACTTATCCCTATCTTTCCTCCATGCCCAGAGGTTGAGGAACCTTGACTTGTTTTGTGATTGAGGTAATTTTATGTGCCAGATTTTGGCTACAATATCTAATTTTAATAAAAAAGCAGTTTAAATGCTACTGCTGTGAAGTTGGTTCTTGGATATGACTAACATCCAAGTAAAAAGACTGATTGAGGCACAGTAGTGCAGGAAGACATTACATAATCAGATGAAGACCTTCAGAGAAGTTCCAGGCACCTAAAGAGGACAGAATGCTGTCTCCAGGTGATGTCATATTTGGCTCCAAAGGTACCTTTTCCTGGTTTTCGACCTAAAGGCTGCTTTCCAGATTTTGGCTTGGTTAGGGCCCCTCCAGGACTCCTTAAAACTTTTCTCTCCCTCTGTCTCTGCCTTTATTTCTCTCTCCCTAACTTTAGCTCTCCAAGTATATATATTATATAATTTATGTACTATAGAATACATAATCCATATATTAAATCATATAATATATAAGCAAATAATACATAATTATATATTTGTATAATTATTGTATATAGCTTATATATAAGCTATATAGTATATAGATATGAAATATATATTTGTATATATATATATGATATACTTATATATATTTATAATGAGAGTTTGTATTTAGGCTTATCTAAAGTAATAGAACTTATAGGATGAATATATATGTTCATATATATTCATATATATGTATGCACATATATATACTATATATATATATATATATATATATATATATATAGAGAGAGAGAGAGAGAGAGAGAGAGAGAGATGGAATTATTAGAATGATTTACAGACCGCAGTCCAGCTAATCCAACTGTGGCTGTCTGTAAAAGGAAAGTCCAAGAATTCAGTAGGCTGGATGTCTCAACTGGTCATCTGTATATGCTGAAATCCTAAAGAAGTAGGCTCTAATGCCAGTGAAGGAATGGACTTGCTTGAAAGGTGGGGGCAAGCAGGCAAACATCAAAAGCTCGCTTTTTCCATCTCCTTATATAGGCTGCCAGTAGAAGGTGTGTCCCAGATTAAAGGCATGTCTTTCTAACTCAAAGATCCAGATTAGAAGTGGATCTTCTTGCTTCAAATTAAGCAAACCCCTCCATTTTGTGGTTTTAGTTGCAGATGTAGTCAAGTTGACAAACCAGAATAGCCATCCCAGTTTAAACATATTTTGAGAAAGTGTTAAAACACACACACACACGCACACACACATCTTACACACACACACACACACACACACACACACACACACACACACACACACCTTATTTCTCTGGCAAACCTGA